TGCCTTTGCCTTCTGCAACTTGGGCGGTGTGGCTAGAGCACTTGCTGTTGAAGACTGAGGCAAAAAAGTCATTCAGCACCTCAGCTTTCTCCACATGCTGGGTAACCAGGTCTCCAGCTTCCTTCTGGAGAGTGTCCACATTTTCCCTAGTCTGCCTTCTATCACTGACATACCTATAGAAGGCTTTCTTGTTCCCTTTGACACCCCTGGCCAGATTTAATTCTGTCAGGGCTTTAGCTTTCCTATCTTGCTCCCTGGCTACGCGGATGATTTCTCTGTATTCCTCCCAAGCTACCTGTCCTTGTTTCCATCCTTTGTAGGCCTCCTTTTTCTGCTTGAGTTTGGCCAGGAGCTCCTTGTTTATCTATGCAGGCCTCCTTGTGTTTCTGCCTGACTTCCTCTTGGTTGGGATGCATCGCTCCTGAGCTTGGAGGAGGTGATCCTTGAATATTGACCAGCTTTTTTGACCCCTCTTCCCTCTAGGGCTTTATCCCAAGGTATTCTACCAAGCAGATCCCTGAGGAGGCCAAAGTCTGCTCTCCTGAAGTCCAGGGTAGCGAGCTTGCTGCACACCCTCCTTACTGCCCTCAGGATCTTAAACTCCACCATTTCTAATTTTTAATATATTTCTAATGTGTTCTTGAAATACAGTGCTTTATTTTTAGCAAAAGCCATTTTTCTTTTCTTATCATTATTCCTCATTTTAAATGAGTTCTTTTCCCTGTGTGCCAGATTCATATATCATGTGACTCTATATTGTCCATTCTTGACTGTGGACAGATCTCTAAAGTATTGCTTTGACCTGCCTGACCCCAGATCTGTCAAAAGAAGATATAATACCTGCTTTGTGAGTAGTTGCTATCCTAGGTAGCATGCTGGTCTTCAACCAGAATATGAACTGAGTCTGACAAAGTGAAAATGAGATGCATTTAATTCAGTTCCCCATGATGGGTATTCTTTAGATAACAGATATTCTGTGCTCTTCCTCTCCTCATGACCTTTCTAGAACTCATGTGTTCTCTTCATTATTTGGATGGTGTAGTATATTCATGCTTCATAATTTAATGAATTTGTCCGAAACTAACTATAGTATGTATTGAAGTTAGTTGTTTTATTAAAATGTTTATGCCCTGAATTATTAGACATGTAAATATGGAATATGCAAGTGTTCTCCTTTTTGCAAAGTACTTCACAGAATCACAGAGTGGTAGGGGTTGGAAGGG